AATGTACACTATGCTTCTTACAAAGTTTGCCGCGATGCACGAAAGCTTTTGGAATGTCTTTGATTAAATATTTAACCGCATTAATGTTTACTTGACACAGTAACTTTCGACAGAGCTGTGTTTCTAACCACTGTTCTAACAAGATATCAACTCAATCTCTCAATAAAATGAAACATTTCAAAACTAAAAAGTGCATTTCTCTGATACGCAATGCACGCAACTTCTAATACACGAGAGTAAATCACATTGTCTATATTCTCCGAGGGTATCCTCGTTTTTTGACTTTTGCTCCTTTCACTTCAGATATCAATTTGCGAATCTTCGAGGAAAACGAGAGCAGTGAGTACAAAAGAACAATCAATTAATCGAGTTGTCAGGCGATCAGGATTAGAGTGGCGCCCCTTCGATCGCGATCTTTGAATGCTCAGCAAGGGCAAACAAATCGATGATATACTCAGTGACATTAGAAGTGTTACACCCAAAAGGAGTAATTTTTTGGAAATGATTTTTTGGCAACAGATTGCGTAAATTTAAAGCAAATTATAGTTACCATTGCATCGGTTTATCTTTGACAGTTCTTGCAAAAAAAAAGTTTTAACCACTTAGTTTTTGTTAAGAAAAAAGCSTATCAGAGCTGATAAGTAGAAGTTCTTGCAGTTGTTGTGTCTCCGACTTCTTGTTTTAAGTGTAACAAAATGCCTCCAGTCCGAAGGCATCAACGATATCACCATCTAAACGATTTCGATAGAGGTAGAATWGTGGCCTTTCGAGAAGTTGGTTTCTCATATCGCGAAATTGCRCGCCGTGTTAATTCTACCGCAATGACGGTAATGCGTGTGTGTCGGGTGTGGACAGAAGAAGGTAGAGGAACACGCAACAGACCATCAGGTCAACCGAGGCGTACCACAGAGCGCCAAGACAGGCGCTTCAGACAACTAGCTCTTCGAGACCGATTTGCTACTACCCGACAACTCGGTGACCAATGGTTTGAAGAAGAAGGTCGACTAGTTAGTATGCGAACGTTATATCGSCGCATTCYAACTTTTGGACTTTTTTCTTACCGTCCACGGTTAGTGCTTCCTTTAACTATGGAACACCGTCGTCAACGTTTGGCCTGGTGCAGAGAACGCCAGGTTTGGGAGGCAGAATGGCATAATGTGATATTCAGTGACGAATCGRGATTCTGTCTAGGCATGCATGATGGCCGTCAGAGGGTAAGACGCCGTCGTGGAGAGCGACGTGATATTGCATATGCTGTTGAGAGGCATGTGCACAGGACTGTTGGAGTAATGGTTTGGGGGGCTATTGCCTATGGAAGCCGATCACCTCTTGTGTTTATTCGAGGCAGTATGACAGCTTTYCGTTATGTTGATGACGTCCTACGAACCACTTTACTGCCTTATCTAGATGGCCGTCAACATGTCCTTTTTCAGCAAGATAATGCACGTCCGCATATTGCTCGTCACACTATGGACTTCCTRCAAGAATCTGCTGTTAATGTTTTGCCGTGGCCACCCCGGTCACCGGATTTAAATCCCATCGAGCATGTGTGGGATATGATGGGGAGAAGATTGACCACTTTGCACCGTCCTCCACAGACTCTGGCACAGTTAATCCATGAGGTTCGAGTTGCTTGGAACGAGATGCCACAAGCAGACATCGATCATCTCATTTTGTCGATGCCTAGACGTGTACWGGAGTGTATTGAGTTACGAGGTCGCCAAACACATTATTGATTTTTTTTCAAGTTAATGTTAATAAAATTTCTTGCAAATCTCATCGATTCATTCTTGATGTAAGTCTTACATATTGCCAAAAAATCAAATTCGAAAAAACATTTTTTCTGGGTGTAACACTTCTAATGTCACTGAGTATATGTTTTTTACTCGCAAAGATATAATTATTGTTAGCTTCGTTCAATGGAAGGAGATAACGAACGTTATTTATGGCCTTTAAATTAAATAGCTGAAACAGTGGTTGGAGCTGGAATAACGATTCGAGACGAGGAGAAAATTTATAACTTAGTTTGTGATTACAAATTGTATTGTATGAGGAATTGTGAAATTTATTAGTTAGAAGTTTGCTTCAATAATTATGTATTTAATTTTTYGGAGTTAGTGTATTTAGGGAGTTGGTGGTCTCGTAATTATCTCGACGTTTCTTTCCAAACTCGACCTGACGTATCTGGGAGTTTTTGTGTGTGAATACAGTTTTAGCCGTGTTTTTTTTCTGCAATTACAAAATTCACAATTTCTCTTTAAATGTTATAAATTGGTTCCATGTCACAAAGCTTTATTATGGAATATTGGAATAAATTAAATATTCACAATTACGTAGTCATAAAATTTAAACACGTTATCTACATCAAAGGAACAACTTATTATACTTTTATGATTCGATTATTTATCTGCGTATAATTAAAAAACATGTCAATATTGTAACAGACATTTTAATTTGATTAATAAGAGTCAAAAAAGGAATTTTTTTCTTGAGTAATGCTGTATTACTTATATCTCAACGAATAAAATACAATAATATTATTTTTATTTTGCCTGTCTAATGAGTTAATGACTCTTAAAACGCTAAAAACAGTGTTTTAATGAAGACTATTTAGATACTGTTTTTACCATAACTACAAACTGCATACTGTGTTTTTACCAAAAGTAATGCAATTTGATCTATTTTCAAACGATTTCTGAAATGCCATCAGTTTTAACTGACTAATATAAAATAATAAACTTAATTTAAAAGTGCTCAATAGAAAACATACTGTATTTACTCGTTTTATAACACTTTTTGTGTCACTTTGTGTTGAAACTTAAAATAAAATCTGAAAACGAACTACAGTAAGTTAAAATGTCTTATCCACAAAAATCATACCCTTTGGTGAAAGAATAAATGCTGCTGAGCTAAAAGTGACAGATTTTTAAGTTTGCGAAAAGATTAAGAAAAGTTGAAAAACTTGAGAAAAGCAAAATTTAATCGTTTATTTTATACTCAATGTTAAAGAGTGCTTTTATCAACTAATTTTAGTAGATAAAGTAGTCTTTTATCGTCTAGTGAAATAAAGTAATTTTCATCTACCGTTAATATTCAAGAAATTCTGGTAGGTGAGTACAAAATAAAACAAAATATTATACACGACGATAAAGATTGTTTATCTACTCGTGAAAAAAGTCCACTCGTGACTTCGTCACTCGTAAACTTAACCTTTTCACTCGTAGATAAACAATTTCTTTATAGTCTTGTATAATAAATAACTATCATTTACAACAACTTACATACAATTAATTATTTAGTTAATTACATCGGGTGAATATAAATAAATAAATAATCTGGCAAATTGAAAAAATAAATGAATTTGATGAAGTTTTCTGCACACCATTTTTTAAATTTTGTTTTCTTTTTTTATAACTGCCAAAAAAGTTTTTAGTTTTATAATAGCTATTTATGCAACAAGTTGCAAAATAAGCGTGTTTTTTGCACTAGACGTAAAGATTGGACCACGAGTGTAACGATTTTGGAGTGTAACCAGTTACACTTGTGGTCTAACACGTCGTGTGCAAAAAATAGCCATTCTGCATTTTGTTTCATACAAGTTTTATCCAATTTGATTGTGAGAAGCATTGGTAACAAATTCGAATTTTAAATCAGTGATTTCAAAATCATACTAGTGTCATTGCTTTGGTATGAAAATAGTGTTATTTTTAGATATTTTAACACTAGACATAAAATAATGTCATATTTTATAACTAGTGATAAAATAAAGCACATTTGACAACTAAAATGACATATCATTCATATCACAATGATTGTTTTTCACAACCAAATTGGAAAAAAATGTTAAAATCATTAGATTTTGATACTTATAAAAACAGTTTATTGTTGAGTGAGAGCGATATATAAAACACATCAATCTCAGAAAAAAAATCTCTCATTTACAACCGAAAATTAGAATAAATTAAAGTATAACTTACAGAAGGTAATATATTTAAGCACAAATTGAAATTCCGAAACGAGCCGCGTAGCGACGAGTTAAGGAACAAATGAGTGCTTGAAGAATCTTCTGCTTTAAACTATTTTTTCTATTTTGCCGCTTTATATCATTTTATAAATTAAAAGACGAAAATTTTAATTTTTTTTTCTAGAAAATTTTTCAACGGTTGGCGACATTTATGTGGAATAATTTTAGGCGGCTGTGAAAAATAAAAATAATTCTTATTTTCATATTTGAAAATAAATAGTGAAGAACAAAATTAAATTAACGCCAATGACTTATTAAAGCACTCAAATGACGTCATTTGGCTACTGGAATAGACTTATTCTAAATGCGTTTTTTGGTCTTGGCAGACAGAAAACTATCACCAACAACACACTTATATTTTCCGTAAACTTTCTTGATGAGAAAATGAAAATTTGTAATGAATGAATCTTTCAGTTTACATATTAGTGTTTTATTTCGGCAAAAAAAAACACGCAAATTTTTGATAAAGCTACTAGAAGCATCTACATTTTAATTAAACATTATGTAGAGTTGGTAACTTTTTTCTAAATCTGATTTATTTTTTTATTTAATTTTATGGAGATAAAAATGTTAAAAATAATTAAAAAATAGATAGTGCTACCGACACTAAAACGTATATCAGTTGTTATATCACATTCATTCAAAACTTATTTCACAAATTTAGCGTACTAAATTTAAATTTTATATCACTTGTTAATTGCACGTTCAATGAAAGTGTGAATACACCTGAATCAACAAACACGTGGCAAAAATCCAATTAGCAAATTGACTTTCAAGTTCATTGTTGCCAATAGTTAACATCTCCTAATTATCTAATGGCTACACGTTCCACTTTCACTATTAATCTAGTAAACTCGTTTTATATAAATTCTTGGTGTTGCCAAAAAAAGCTCCAAAATTTATTAATAGAGTTCGCGGTGCCGGCACATCCTTCCGAGTTTTCGTTAATAATTAAATAAAGTTGAAGATTACTCACCTTTGCTGGCTCCCGTGGTCTTGTCCCTAAGGACGTTGATCGAGTGTACGCGTCCGTATTCTTCAAACATCCTTCTGAGATCGTTCTCGTCCATGGACCGGGGCACCTGCCCCACGAACATCTTGATGGTATCACTGTCCGGTTGCTCCTGTTCGATTTTGGCATTGTTTTGTTGCGACGAACTCAGCAAGTTGTTGTTGTTACTATTGCTGTTATTGTTGTTCGTGCTGCTGTTGTTATTGTTGTTCATCGCCAGTGAGCTGCAACAAAAGAAATAAGGCAAAAATGAAAATCAATCCACACGTGCTACGGCGTGGGACGTTGCATCAATATTGTTTTATGTAAAAGAGAAAATATGGTGACATTGGAGCGTTTTCGTCCTCGTTTACACAACATACATATAAACTACACTCCTTGGCTTCACCCAAGAAGATTCGCTCCGAGTGTGAATTGAGAGCCATTAAGCTTTTGCCATCGATGCCCCACAAAGCCGCGTGAACTTGCATATCAAAATGGGACTTATCGCTCCCCATCCATCAGTCAGACTAAGATGGCATTATCCCGCTTCGGTTCGGTTTAATCGGTTTTATACACCAAACATACACAATTTTTAAATTTCGAACATTTGCTGTCAAATAAAAAAGAATCAAATACACAATGGGGAGGTGTTTAACGGAAAGCACGGCGTAATGCTTTTTGCCAAAGCTCAGTGAGGGAATATTATATCATTCTTATCGCAAAATCGTCACGTCATTCGGGGACTGGAACGAAACACTCGGGATGACTCACTTTATAAACTACATGAAACACATTTTCAACCATTTATAGAGGAAAACTGTTCTTCTCGCCATCACGTAGGATTTGGGCGAGATAATTCGCAAACATTTTGATCATTCTCTTACCACTTTTGCAGCAAATTCGCAGATTTATTAAAACCAAAGATTTTTTGTGTTTCAAATTTTCACTGCTAAACAAGCACTACTTTCGGTTATAAAAATTCTCCTTTTCGWAAAACACCCACCGCATGTTTTTACAAAATTCTGTGAAAGAGAAAGCCCTATGACTTCCAAAAATCGTGATAAAGCGAATACTGTCGGCGGCCGCCCTACTATGTTTTATCTTTTTCAAAAATATACCTACGCAAAAGTTCAAAATTTAATTTTTTGGGGTGAATTTTTACAAGAAACAAAGCAAATGAAAATACCAAAAAGTCGCGAATACTACTCTCTGCCCTTTGTTACAACTAAACCCTACTAACAAATTTAGAACCAAAAGTCTCTACAATTTAAAAAAGGAAAAAACATTTTAAAAAGTGACAGAATGGCGGTAGAAATGTAACCAGACATATAATTTTTGTAAATACGTAAGGTAGGTACCTAAGCCAAATAAGGCCCGGTTAGTTAAATCCCCACCGTTAGTGTTTCGTCTAAATAGTGAAGAAAATTGAAACTATCTAGCCTAGGTTAGACCTCCAGCCATCTATCATCAGTTACTCCTAGATATGTCTTTTAGTTGATTGTAAATGGTGAAATATGTTCTAAACTGATGCGTCATCGTGTTGAATGTAAAAATTAAATATTTCTAGTTACATATTAATACATATTTTGAAGTTTCTTTACTTTTTTCGCATTATTTATGTTCTTTTTTGTTTGTTTATTAAAGATTTTTTCCTTAACTTACTGTTAATACGATTAATGAAAAATCCTATCTCAAACTTTAAATATGGGCCTATCTAATGTCGATGGTGGGCCTTATTTGGGGCTAGGAGGTTCCAAAATAGGCCCTTTGTAATATTTTATATTTACGAGTATGTTAAAAACATGTAAAAAAATTAACAAAACAGGCATTTTTGTGGTACACATTGTTAAACCAAAGTTCAAATTACAATTTCGATAATAAATCCAAACATTTGCATATTTAAAAAAATATGTAAAAAATCGTAAAAATTAAGTTGGCCTTATTTGGATAAGTTGCCTAACTTAAAAACTTTATATTTAAGAAGTAAAATTATTTAAATATGTTGCACCTTTCGAATAAAAAAAGAATTACGCTACTCTGATTACGTATAACTAAAAAAGTGGCTTAAAATGTGTCAAGTTGTTAATAAGAATAAGTAAGTACTTTACAATAATAATAAAATAAAAGAAATAGCGCCAAAAAATGTGGGTTTGTGATTAAATTGCCTGTACCAAATTTTATAAAAATCAATAAATCCATTAGAAAGTTATTAAAGAAAAAAGAAAATAATTTTTAAACATTGTGGCCCTCTAACTTTTAAACGGTACAACTTGGTATAGAAAGGTAAGTTGAGTTAAATCGCTTTATTTTGATCTGGGAAATCTTAGACTACTCTGTATTTTAACCAATCATCATTATCGAGTGGATAGTAGTAACCCCATATGCTCTGACTTTTCTGAAAGCTTTCATTATTCTCCATTTTGCGTTTATTGTTCTTGAAATATGATAGCCTGATTGCGTAGAAGATGGTTTATAGGGAAATAAAAAACATTAAATTCATCCCGACGTTTCGATACTTTAATTGTATCTTCTTCAGGCGAAGAATTCTCGTTGGTTGAGCGTGTGAAACAGAGTTCTTCCTTGACTTGTGCCATGCTTCTTCACACGCTCAACCAACGAGAATTCTTCGCCTGAAGAAGATACAATTAAAGTATCGAAACGTCGGGACGAATTTAATGTTTTTTATTTCCCTATGTCTTATAAACCATCCTCAACGCAATCAGGCTTTCATTATTTTCCAATCGATAAATATAAAAAAAATTATATTTATTTACAAGGGCAAAAACCACATAAATTGTGGTAGGTGACAGTTTAATACATCTGACAACGATTTCTAAACTACTCGTAATTTTCCTTTTTTTAATATTTAATAAATCGTATAAAATAACTTGAAAAACAAAACTCGGTGTCACAATCTTGCCGCTGGCTTAAAAATCGATCGTCCTTTTGCTCCAGGGTGACCGGTCCCCTTCACCTTCGGAAGAAAAAAAAGATTTTCGAATAAATAACCCCAATTTCGATGCAGAACGTCCACCGTTCCGCTCGCAAAAGAAGAAAAAAAGCGATTTCCTCTAGTTCCGCAACTTTGTTGTATCGAATTCGCGAATTTAATAAAGTTGCAGGTGAAATTCAGCCCAAAAGTAGACGTTACCCCGAGCCAATTTTGGCTTGATGTATACACGTGCGGTGGCTGTTTATACCGTCGCGTTCTGTTTTGCTTTCGTTCCTAATTTCCTCCGCCAGTTTCGTCGCACTATGCAAATATTTGATCAAACTCTATGCAGAACACATTGCCGCAATACGTGTTTTTGTTGAGCCCCTTTCGGGGGGCGTTATCGGCAACGTTCTAAATTACTATCGAATTAATCTGTAAATCCGGGACAGTCGGTAATAACCTCAGATGATGCGGACGCGACCCGACGAGCAAACAGGTTGGATTTCGATAGTTTGCTCTTGCTGAATCAGGTGTATCGACCACTAATTAAAGCCTCCAACGGCTGTAACGAAAGCCACGAAATCAATCGCGGAATGAACTGAACGGATCGACATCAAAGAGGATGTTCGCTCTTTTCTGTAATGCACTCCAAAGCCGGAAAGAAAAAAATCAAATGATTCGCCATCGACTTCTGTTTGATTAAAAACTTAAAATTCGCCAACGTACGAGTAAGTATGAGAAGTTTTTTAATAAGAACGGGCGCTGCATTAAGAGTTATCGATTTCGAAATATGCTTGTTAAGAGCTTCAATCTAGACTCCAATAACTCCTTAACTTTGTTAAAATAGCACAAAAATACATATTCAGAGCCTGATAAATAGAAAATACATTGGTATTGATTTTTACTTTACTTTTACTAAATAGTAAGATCCAACTTAAATTTTTCTTCTATACTAAAAAAAAGTTCAAATGTCATTAATTTTTAAGTGTTATGGCTTTCGTTATTTGCAGATTATATACCATTGCGTTAACGAGTTTTGTTTTTATTACATTTTAATTTACTTAAAAACCATAAAAATCTTTAATATTTCAGGAGATTTGCGGCTAGTTCCCCAGTCCAATGTGCTTTTAACCGGAGCACGTTTAAAAATTTAATTTAAAAATATAATCTGGAGCAAAACACAAAGTATAAAATAAAATTAATTATTTTATTTTGTACTCAATGTTAATGAGTGCTTTTATCAACTAATTTCAGTAGATAAAGTAGTTTCTTATCGTCTAGTGAAATAAAATAATTTTTATCTACTGTTTATATTCAAGAAATTTTGGCAGGTGAGTACAAAAAAATCGAAATATTATACACGACGATAAAGGTTGTGAAAAAAGTCCACTCGTGACTTCGTCACTCGCAAACTAATTTCTTTATCGTCTTGTATAATAAATAACTAAAACATGTATTTTCTATCTTTTTTTAATAAATTATACATTTATTTGATCTAACTCTTTTCAATTTTCGAGCTTTACACTAGATTGGCAGCTGCTTTGTGAGGCTGTCAAAATATTCATGAATTGGCTAATCAATCTTCTTTTACGCCAAAAATATCCCAAAAAGATAAATCAATATTTAAATTACGATTAATTTTTTCCAAAAAAAAAATCAACTTTTAAAAACTTTTGCCTTGAAAGACACAAAGTATATCCTTAATTTTTAGTATAGAGTACTAAAAGTAAAAGATTTGAACTAAAATCCTTTTAAGAAGTTTTGGTAAACTATGTAAGACAATGGTAGCAGAGGCACTATTATGTGAAACAAGACTTCAGACAATACTAGCAAACAACTAAAGCTCGTCTAAGAAGCTAAGACGAAACTTGTGAGACTTTGAAGTTAGAGAGTGTGAGACAAATAGGTGTGCCAATAATAATTATTTTTGTCACAAAATTGTATAATTTTTTTTCTGAACGTCCCGGAAAATAATGTTCGATTGCGTGAACGCCCCCTATTGTCYAGGAAGACATTTAGGGATCAATAGCCCGCGCAGAAAGTGTCCGTTATTATCTCCCGCACTTTGCGGCCACGTTAACTAACTTACTGACACATTTTGAATTAGCTTCGKTCGAGGACGCCCGGAATTGGTCCGGAGTCTCGCGATCCTACCTCCTTTCACTGTTTCGCCCCGCGATGCTTATAACTTAATACTCTGCTGCTTGAGTTTATAAAACCGCACAGAAGTAATTAAAGCCTTAGTGAAAACAATCCTGGAATGAGTTTACTTTTACAAGATTAGGTAGGATCTTGATTAAAGTTTCA